TTACTACCATCCAGCTGCACTTTTCCAGTCCAAATGACATCCCAATGTCCTCACTGTAGATCCATGTCAGGTGGATCAGGGGGTCGATGTCTCATTTACTCTTAGCATACAGCTTGATGTCATCCATGTAGAGGAGGTGGCTGATGGTAGTTCCACTCTTCAACTTGTATCTGTATCCAAATACACACACACACACTATAGCCTTTTTAACTCTGTCACCTGTCCTGCAGGGCAGATCCTGCAATATATCTAATAAGAAGTTAGTCTTCTCTGTTCACTGAGTGTGGAATCATTATTCCACAACAATATTGACATAAGTTTTATCATACAGATGGAGGCTTATATGAGAACCTTCAGTGAAATTGTAAAATGGCCACACATTTGTTAAATGTGTTTAATGTTTATTTTTTATTCCACCTTCTTCTTTAAAATGCTACAGCATGATTAAAAAAAAAATCTTTAAAGTACAATAAACATAGCAGCTCATTAAATTGATAAAATATTGATTTGGTCCTAAATTGTTCCACCCATTCTTATCACTTGAACATTCACCTTTTGAGTTTCCAGAAGTGTTAGTGTTAGAACAAGTTTCCAAATATTTACATATGAAAGAATCTGAAATAACAAGAAAGAAAAGGGAGTGGCAACATACAAGAATGTGGAAATGTACCTCGTAAGATGAACAAACTGTACCAATATTACTTGAGGGTTTTTCATGGAGGGTTAGATGTGGGTTGCTTACTATCTTGGACTGGCTGACTAATGCCCTTTTCACTGCTAATAGTCTTGTATTCCCTTAAGGTTTGTCGATCCCCCTTAACAGAGAGTCATCTCACAGGCTCATCTTTCACAGGGCTTCAGATTTCTCTACAGCTACTTACTACCTTCTGCGTCTTCTCCAGCAATAAGGGAATTGACACAATGGGTTGTATGGCAGTAGGAAATGTCAGGGAAGGAGAGAGTAGCTATCATTGAGGAAAGAGCATTCAAAGGCCTTTCAAACTGGAATTGATAAGGGAACATCAATGAAAACATGAAAAAGATTCAGAATACACTGGGGAAAGAAACAATAAGGGGGAAGGTAGTGTTCATTGGGGAAATAGCATTCAAACAGTATTGAGGGAATAGTAGTGAACAATCCATGGTGGCTAATAAAGAAACAGCGCACACAATGCAGCTTTTAGAGAGAGAAACCAGGCCAGTATAAGCTTTTTTTTTTTTTTTTTTTTTTTTGCATAGAGAAACGGGAAGAAAGAGCAAGAGGGAATGCACACATGAGTATTAGGGAGCAGGGGATATATGTGCCTTGGTGTTGGGTTCATGAAATTTGGGGGAGAAAGAAAAAGGGGATGGAGAAATTCAATGTGCTTGTTGGTTTCCAGAACCTAAAATTCTTTTGGAGCTGACAACTCAAATATGGGCTACTTTTCTGATCTGGATCCAGATGCTGAGGTGAACCTAGTTGGCTCTTCTAAATTGTGAACTCCAACTCAGTATGAGTTGCTCCAGGGACCTGGGAAGGCTGTGCTTCTGAGATTTAAGAAGGCAATGCACTGGAGGGGCTCCCGGAAGGCCTAGCAATGGGCTGTAACTGCACCCAAAGCTCAGAAGGCTCTGCCTGCTTCATGGTCATTCTGGTCAAGCCCAAGTCCAGGTGCTTCAAAGAGGTTCCCTGAAACAAGCAATGGCCTGCAAGGAGGGAGAGAGGTAAGAGCTAGTTGCACAGCTTCTGTCTTGAGTAACTTCAGTTAGAGATGGAGATCGCAGTATGAAGTTTCTCTTCAGAAGAAACAAAGACTTGTTAGGACAGGGAGAATTCAAAGCTAGATGCCCAGTGAGTGATGCCAGCTACAAATGGAGAGAAAATAAAAGGAATATTTTCTTCTCTGACTCACTGGCCCAAACAACTCACAGGTGTCTGACCAATATGGGTATTCACAGAGGCCACTAAGTCATCCCCTCACTCAGAGGCAAGTATATAAAAGCTTTCCAATTCTGATGTCTGGCCGATTGATGGACATTGCAGAATTGTCCCCTTCCTCTCATATTCAAGGTGATCAGCACTCATGCGATTTGTCATCAAATCTACTTCTCAACAGGATGCATAGGTGGACACCCCAAATGGAAGTTTTATCCCAAATTGCAAAATTGAGCTAGTGGTAGTGTCTGTAAGATGGGGTGAGGGTGTAAAGCAGTGTTGTCCAAACTTGGCCACTTTAAGATGAGTGGACTTCAACTCATGCTGGCTGGGGAATTCTGGAAGTTGAAGT